TAAGTAAGAATATGTGGTATTTGGTTTTCTGTCTTTTAACCTTTAAAACAATGGCTAGGGATGGGGTAATTAAAATAATCTCTACAGGTCCTTCCGTAACCCAGGGTCCCTGGGTTTTTGGGTACACACGATGGAAAAGTACCCTCTTGTATCTATTGCACATTGACTTCTTGTCATTTCAAAAAGTTCCAGAAGATTCAGAAGAGATAAGCCCCCAGGTTGGGGCTTAGCCAGAGCTGGTTGCTGGCTTTGCCAGGGAAGAATTCAAGGGTGAGCCAGAGGTGTTAGAAGTAATCTTTTCTTAAAGGGTGCTGCTCCTTGGGGAGCCGGGCTAACTCACGCGCCATGCGCCCAGAGTCAGCCGTGCATGGGCTGTAGGCAGCTGTATTTATATCCACCTGTAATTACATCCAAATTGAGGGGCAGGCTAATGCAAATTGCAGGGGTGGGTTATTCAGAACTGTCTAGGAAAGGCATGTAAGTTCCAGGTCATTTCCATGAAAAGGGACGGTAACTTCCAGGTTGTTGCCATGGCATTTGCAAACTGTCGTGGTGCTGGTGGGAGCATCTTATGCTAATGAGTAATGACAGTGACTAGATGTTGCCTTCTTCACTACCTGCTGGTTCCTGCTGGTTTTTTGCTTCATCCTGTCGGGATGGGGAAATAAGTCATACTGGCCTTCTACCTCAGCTAGATAACGGTGGCCCGGACAGACTGTGGTTTACCCACAAGTAATGAAAGTTGTCTGAATTTAGATTCTTAGCTCCTAATACAGAAAACTGATATGCAGGTCTGTCCTCACCGTGTACGCCAGAAGATGCTGATCTGGGTGATCTGGGTGCTGAGAGGCAACGGCTGCCAGAGATTCTGTTGCCACAGCTTGGACATGCAGGAGAACACCAAGGCTGCTGTGGGACCCTCTAACAAAAACGAGGGACACAGCCCTCCCAGAGATGCTGGGCACACTCGCAGAGTGGCCCTTGCCTCCAAATGAGTTCTGTTTGGAAGGTTTGATTCCTCACAGAGCCCACCCAACCACTTTATTCTTCCTTTAAGAACAGAAAAGGAAAAGTTAAAACTAAAAAGCAGTTTTTTGTAAAAATTTGCCACTATCCAATAAATAAAACTGCGGCTCACAGAAACCTCCCAACTGCTCCTCCCATCCCCAGAGAAGCTTCGAGCATTTCTCGGCATACTTTAACTTCATGCCATTTTCCTAAACCAAATATTAAATGTCCACCTTGAAGTGAGAGTGATACATCACTGAGGAGAGAATGGGTAGCTCTTGTGAAATACAAAAACAGGTAGAAATGAGAAGTGGACCCTTTCTCCTGTTCTCACCCCACCCTGTGCGCAGCGCAGACGATGTGGCTATCCTTCAGAGGCGGCTGCTCTCTCTGACTCTGAGACTGTGCGTGTCCCATTGTTAATGTTATTGCTGTTAATGTTGTGATGTTTGTGTTGTTTGATTTTGTGTTCTTGATATTTTGCTTTCCCTGGAACAGGTAGGCGTGTTTTCGTTTGTTATTTTATACCTTGGAATCATTTTGGCTTAAGTCAATTAATGACAGTAATGTTCCCAAAATGAAAATCAACAGGTCTGTTGTTTGAAACAGCCAAGTCGTTACTTTGATTCTGTTGTTCTATCAAGGCTCTTTTTCTGCCCCTTTTTCCCTTTTCTTTTCCTTTACAAAACAGCCTCTATTACAACACACGTGCATTGATTGTTGGTTGGCACAATCATATATTCTATACTCTTCGATTTTCAAAAATACTTCTAGTAAATAAATAAAAAAGCTTAATAAAATATCTAGCGGCTTGCCAACCTATTAACTTTATAGTTCATGTCTAATTATTTTCACCTATACAATTTGGGAGGAGCTTTGCAATCAATCACTTGGTGCAGTTCTGAAGATAAAGGAGAGCATCTGCTTTTTATTTGGGGAGAAGACATATGCATGTTTTAAGGGAACCCTGTGCAATGAAGTGGCAGAGACATTCTCCTAAGCCTCATTTTCACAGAGCATAAGGAGGAATGGATTCAGCTGACATTTTGGGGATAGACATAAAACATTTATATGAGTAAAGTACAATGCTTAAAGCAATTGAAATGAGAACACTTATTTTCATAATTCATACTCCTTGTTTCCTAAGCACTGATTGTTAGTACCTAACTCTATTTGAGTTTGCGCCACCATGTGCAGACTGCATTCCTGGTGCTCAGCTACTGCATCACAGTCCTCTGCTTTCTGGTTAGAATTTGACCCAGACGTGCAAAGAGTCCGAGTCCCTTCTCCTGGTGTTTCAGCACTCTTTCACCTTACAGCCACAACCAAGACAACCGATAACATCAGACGGAACCTCCATCCTTAACGAAAGCAGAGGAATTTAAACATGAGTGCAGTATTTTAAGCATCAGCAATGGTGGGACTTTGCACAATGCCCTCTGCCCTCTGCCCTCTGCCCTCTGCCCTCTGAGGTCTATGGAAGTCTGTGATCCTTTGGCAAGAGATCATAGTCACTGGGTGAACTGGCCCCACAGGGAGGCAGAGTGACTAGCTAGCTATGGAATGCTGTTTAACACTGGCAAATACGGTCTAAAGGGTCAACCAAAGTTTATTAAAATCACCAGCAATGCATACAAGACATTGCATGAAGAGATATTAACAGTTAGGAAGTCGCGGCTATTTTGACATGGACAGATGATCACGGCATGGAATTGCTGTAGGGTGGGGCTTGGCCATGGTCACTTTTCAAAGCTCCTGAACAATGCTGGTGCCCATTCATGGTTGACCGCCACTGGGGCAGCACTTTCGGCCATCTGGTAGGAACCGAGCACAAAGCTCCACCTATATTCCAGCTGCTGGCTAAGGAAAATAAAACTTTTTCAACTCAGATTTTATTTTTTAAGCTCCTCTCTAGACAAAGAAGATAATAAGATAAAACAGTTAAAACTAGAATATGAGACATTGGGATTACATATAAGAAGCAGCTTGGGGGAAGAAGAGGTTAGTTATTAAAATGTATGACCTCAGGGATACTGTGTCATATCATTTTCTGGAGGATTTCACAACGGGGGTGAATTTCCATCTGTCTTCAAGGTGTTTCTAATGGAATGCCAAGGTGATGCTGGAGGTTATAGCTCATTCCTTTAGACAGGGCTGAATGCTGCGCTTATTCATCACTTATTCATTGAAAACAAATCAAATTTTTCCCAAGTGCCTTATAATGTTCTAAGAAAAGGCCACTGGGCTGGATGAAGGATTTGGGTGTACACGTTGTGGCAGGTCCTGTTTGTGAAACTGTGACAGGCAGTACAGTGTTTGAGGTAAGTATGTAGCTCTAAAGCCAACTGCCTGGTTTCAGTTTTTTCACTTACTGGTAGACAAAAATATTCCTTAACAGCCCCATCAGTTTACCTGTAATGGGGGTAATGATGCTGCTGATGCTGTCATCCTCATATAATCATTCTAACAGTAGTTAATAGCCTGTAATCTTAGGGTTCAATGAGTTTATATATGTAAACTAGTTATACCTGCATGGAACATAGCAGACATTTGTATTAAGATTTAATTTTTTTCGTTAAAAGTCAATTTAGGTCACTTGCATCAGAAGATTCATTCAATCCCAATTAATATCTTTGCTAGCAAAACTAAAATATGCACTCTTTTTTTCCTCTTCTTTAAGCTACAATAAAGTACAACACTTCTGAGGAAAGGCAAAATCTTAGTGCTGGAAGGAAATAATGAAATCTTCTAGAGGAACGGTTTTCAACCATAGTTACATATTAGAGAGCTTTCAAATAATATTTATACTCAGACCTAAATACAAACAAGAGAATCAGGGGTGGAGCATAGACACCAGTTTTTTCTCTTCGGTTTTCTTTTCTTTTTTTTTTTTCCTGATTGTGTTACTTACCAAACTTTGTCATTCCAAAGTCTAACAAAGGTTTCAAGCCAATGGTCTAGAACCATCTGCCTCAAAACGCAGAAATTTCCTTAACCAGCCTCTTCTTAATATTTCCATTGGCATAGAATGGTATTTCCATTACCTCACATAAAATTGAATAGTCCTTTAAATTTAATTCATGCTAAGCAAACAATTCAGCCTAATCACACTCAATATTTATTTTCAAATTTGAATTAAGCACCTCCTCCTGTTGTTGGCAAAAGTGATAAATAAATGATAAATGTCAAATATCATGAAATATTTCTGCAAATTCTGCAACTTTTACAATCATCACAGTTAAATGAAGTAAAATATTTTCAAAAGCAAATTAAATTCATTTGGTTGTTTCTAGACCATTGGCTTGAAACCTTTGTTAGACTTTGGAATGACAAAGTTTGGTAAGTAACACAATCAGGAAAAAAAAAAAAGAAAAGAAAACCGAAGAGAAAAAACTGGTGTCTATGCTCCACCCCTGATTCTCTTGTTTGTATTTAGGTCTGAGTATAAATATTATTTGAAAGCTCTCTAATATGTAACTATGGTTGAAAACCGTTCCTCTAGAAGATTTCATTATTTCCTTCCAGCACTAAGTAATAAATAATACAGTTATGATTACTTTAAGTGAAATTACATAAAGATAGCGTTTCAGTTTTGAAAACTGTTTGGGAATCTACCTCCGCATGATCAATTTCACTTATTTCTTTTTGAATTTATTTTATTCGTACATTACTAGTTGTGCAATAAACTATATAATCGAGAACCAGTGTCAGGCACGGGGCTACAAACCTTACTTAATAAGTGCAAAACCAAAAGCTGATTCAAAACTCAAAACTTTAGATTTCTTCAATGTGTCATACCTTTCTCTTTCCCCTAAACTATTCACTGTATTGGATATTTTCAGTTAAGCTGATTTTTAAATAGACTTAATATTGTATGTAACAATTCAGAGTTGTAATTCAGGTAAATTAAAGACTTGGTAGGGAAAGATTTACTGTGAACCTTTTTAAAACAATGGGTTATTCTAGCTTATTTAAGATGTAATTTAACTCACCAGATTGTGGTGTGTATACAATTTCTGGAGACACTGATCAAGTAAACCAGGAATCGAGGCTACATGTGCTGTGATCATTCTTTAAGTATCAGTGGGTGTGCATGTAGGCTGGTTTAGAGAACAGAAATGAGATAAGAACAGGACGCCTAAAGGTTGGACACCACTGAATTCAATGAGGACAGATCGCCTGAGTCAGTCTGGTTCGGAGGAAGGGCAGAGTTGATTGTTCTTCAGAAGGACATCGGAAGGGCGGTCACCAGGAAACTGCAGATCACGGTAACAGTGCCACAGATGCCTGTTAAAGATGGTTACTGCAGTCTCCTCAGAAAAGTACTATTACATTTTAATTTTTCTATGGCGAATTATCAGTGGGCCAAGGGTCATGAGCACCAGATAATAACAGCCCTCATTAATGTATGTTTAAGTGCTGCTATTTCTATTGAGCCTTTATAGTGCAGATTTTTAGATCTGGTCTTATTTCTTCTTTTCTTCTAGATACTATCATTAGCACAGATCTTAGAAAACTTTTGTATCCCAGCTTTTCTTTGTTCATTTTATTTTCAACAGAACTGGCAGAGACCAACGGAGTCAGAATTAACACAATGAAACACAATTAACACAAGCGACAAAAACGTCATAGTGATGCTGAATGGGAAGAAACCATCAATTATAGTTTTAAAACATTTCCAAGGACCTTTTTATCTATAAATGCTAAAGTAAATCTTTACAGAGTGTTTTTTTTTTTTTAATTGTAAACTCAGTTTCTCAGCTTTCTGTTCCATGTATAATATCTGATTTTTGTGGGTCTTTTTCCTCAATGATACACAGGCAAGCATTAGTAATACTTATTTAGATTTATACAATGCCATTCTTTGGCATAGCACATTCTCATATTGTCCCCTTCACAGCTCTGCAATGGAGGAAAAGGCTTGTAAAGCAAGAGATTTTGGTCCTATTCGTGTGTGTGTGTGTGTGTGTGTGTGTGTGTGTGTGTGTGTGTGTGTTTTGAGAAGGAGTTTCGCTCTTTGTTACCCAGGCTGGAGTGCAATGGTATGATCTCGGCTCACCGCAACCTCCGCCTCCTGGGTTCACGCAATTCTCCTGCCTCAGCCTCCCGAGTAGCTGGGACTACAGGCTGTGCCACCATGCCCAGCTAATTTTTGTATTTTTAGTAGAGATGGGGTTTCACCATGTTGACCAGGATGGTCTCTGTCTTTTGACATCGTGATCCACTGCCTTGGCCTCCCAAAGTGCTGGGGTTATAGGCGTGAGCCACAGTGTGTGTGTGTTTTAATTGATCTGATATTGGGAAAGACCCCCTAAGCTTTGTCCTTAGTGTTTTTTTTAATCTTTAATCTGTAGTAAAAGGCATTTGAATAGGTTATAGATATAGCTTCTTCTAAAACTGAAATGTTGTAGCTTTCTTTTAGAGTGCATTCAGATGGGGGCAAAGGCCCTTAGTAACTTGCTCCAGCTCATACATTTAGTCAACATAGAGAAGGATTTCAGTCCCTGAATCATATTCCAAAGTGTTCCCACTAGGCTAGATTGCTTATTACTGAGAATGTGAAATTCAGACCTTGGTTTACTTTATCATGATTTTATTTTATTCTTGGACTAAAAAAATTGTCTTAGTCTCATTGTTGTATGATATTGAAACATTTTTAAACTAATTTCAAATGTTTTACGTGAATAAGGAACACCAAACTGTCATGTGAGTGTGAAGTTCAGGGGAGAAGGACTTCCACTCTGATCACTGCCACCCACACCTCCGCGGTCTACTCTGTCTTGGGTTAGCACTGTTTTACAAGAATGTGGATTTCATTCCTTCTAAAGGAGTGGGACCTGATGATTTTTGATTCTCCAAGGGCAAAGAGAAAAGATGATGCATTTAATTATCTTAATGGAATTTAATTATAATCGGAAAGTTTCTCCAAGTTTTGTTTGTTTATTTGAATTTAAGACTAACCCACACTCCAAGGATTTCTTAAACAGGAGTACTTGAAGCTTCAAAGAGGATCCTTTGAAAAGTGCTAATAACCAGAGTGTTGTCTTCTCTTCCACAAGAAGGAGCCAGGTGGGGAGGTACAGATCTGGTTCTTCTCTTTGTCCCACTACGCATTTTTTCCCATAGATCAGGGAGGTAAACTATTGCTTTCCATTGGATAATATTAAGCAGGAATGGGGGTCATTGCACCGAAATAACAAAGGGGTCAGTTGCTTGGTTCTTCATGGTTTGCTGACACTTTGCTCTGTGTCTTGTCTTCATGTAATAAACTCACCAAGGAAAGGTCTCTCTCTTCAGGAGTATTCTACTTTCTCCAGCTTCATTGGAAAAGTTTCATTGGAGGAAAGAGGTAGTCAGCCCTGATACCTTCTCTAATTTAATGTTGCCAGGGAGCCCTCTGCTTTGAGAGCTATCAGGAATCCACTGATAAAACTAGCGCCATATTTAATTCCCGTTTGTCTCCTTGATTATTTCTCAATGTGTTTAGATAAAGAAGAAAGATGCCATTAGCTCCTCCAAATTTCTCACAGAAGCCAACACAATCAAGAACCACATTCTACAGCTAATAACTTAACTAGAGGGCAACAATATTTTCTGCTAAAGTTTGCTAGAAAGTGGATGTAACGATCCCAGATGTAAAAGGTTGTTCAGGGACTTATATTGCAGTCCCTTTCTAATCGACTCTAATCAGATGTGAACGTATTCATACCTTATCGATTTGTTGGAGACAATTATATTCGGAAGCATCATATGCCTCGCTCTCAAATAATTATTCTAATTTGTTTTGCTCACTTTGTATAGTAATATAGCACAAGGTGGAGAAATAGGGCCCCAGCAGGTCAGTGAATATTGCCTTACTACACAGTACACATTTGTAGATCATAAACACGGTTCATTAGCTTCTCAAAGACGAGAAAGTTTTCTTGCAGCAGACACTGCAGAAAGTAATAAAAATGATATAATCATTCTTGAAGAACACATAACGTTTACAGTCGTAACAAATTTTCCATGCACATGTGCACGTCTAACAAATGCTGCAGAGTTTGAAAGCTGAGAGACACTTTTGAACCACTTAAAGCCACATGTCAAATCTTTCTTTAATTGTGATAAATTCTGTTCTCTCACCTGAGAAGGTGACATTTCATGGCAAACAAGTCTGAGAAATCATCCAGAACCAGAAAAAATTTTCTGTTTTGTAAGCTATTTCCTATAATAACCAGAAAATTTGGGACAAAAAAAAAGCTAGCTCACAACACAGTTGCTCTGAGCCTTGTTAATCACAATCAGGAAACTACGCTCTTGCTTGAGAAGCCCAGGTTCTCCTCTGCACGAACTTAACTCAACGTCTTGGTAAGCTGGAGTGGCTGCCTGTACCGCTGTGAGCTCCAAGTTGCTGGAGTTTCTTTTCTTTCCTTTTTTTTTTTCTGAAATTTCAAAATATTTATTGAATGGAAATATAAACATAAGCCCAAAAGAAAACAGTGGCAAAGTTTATAAGTAAAATGTAATTTTCCCTTAATTAATATTATTGCTTGCTGTTCATGGTTTACAAAATGACTGACATTTCCCTTCTATCCCTTTGTACCTATGTGTATCTAGCAGAAATGTTCTTAGCTCTGCCTACGTGCATACAGAAACTTTGTATCGATGATTATGTTCAAATGTTTATTTCTTTTCCCCGGAATAAATTGGGGGACTGGCACTGTCTGGAATGATCACAGGACAAATAGGAAGCTCTGATCATCTTGAGTTTCATGTTTATCAGAAAAATAAGGGCGCAGTGGCTCTATAACAGGAATTTTGTTGAAAATGTAGATATGGCACCCATCACTAACATTAGAAAAGGAAATGAACTGCATACCTACAACCAGGAAAATCCCCCCTCTGTGCAACTGGGGACTGATCCAGAGAAAAGTCAAAGGCATAGTGCTGGTGGCAAAGATCTTTCCTTTTCTGGAACTCACAGTCCAGAGGCCGAGCTCTGAAGAAAGCACAATGTCCCCCTGTTGATTCACAGATTCCTTAAAAATGCCCACATCCCATCCTTTGCCGGTGCCCACATCCACCTCCCAGTAATGCAACCAGAATTGAAGCAAGAGGTCCCTAGGTTGCACAGTGCGGAATTGAACCGTTCAGCTTGCTCTTTCCGATTCTGTCTGAAATCCCCACATCGGACACTCCTCAGATCTTCAGAAATGATGAGACGGTTGTTGGCTGTGTCCACATCCAAGGCCATATCCACTTGAAACTTCTTCATCCTTGGGTTCATCATTAGAATCGATTTCAGCTTGGGCTCTAGTTCCTTGATGATGAAAACCAGTGCCCTCAGCTTGAACCTGGGCTTGATGTCTTTCTTCTGAGAGACCACAGTGCATCAGGGGCACAGTACACGTGGCTCCTTCTGCAGTGAATTGATGCACTGGAGGCAGCAGGCATATCCACATTTCAGTTGCACAGGTTCTTCAAGATCATTTAGACAGACAGGACAACTAATTACTTGTTTGAAGGGTTCCGCCAATGCAAATGTCTCTCCTTCCCGAGTTCCTCCCCGCCCCCGCCTCAGCTGCTTCTGCCGACAGCTCAGATCTCTCATTTTATTTTATTTTATTTTTATAAACAGGCATGTTTAGTGATAGCTTGCTCTTCGGAGATGACTACAGAGACTTTTAATCTATAATTCAGGAGTATATAACCATACAGCATGGGCCAATTAGCCAAATGTAAAATAAACTAAGTTCTTACTACAACTACCCTATAAACCTTGCAACTATTCTTTCCAAAATGACCCTAATCTCATGTGAAAACACCTACTGTGGGGGAACCAGAAACCTGGCTATGTGGCCAAAAGTAAAAACCAAAGGAAACAATAGCAACTCAGTGGTTAATTGGTGAAAGCACAAAATTTGTGTCCCTTACTGTGCTGCTGCTGCTGCTGGTGGTACTGCTGCTGCTCGTGGTACTGCTGCTGGTGGTGGTACTGCTGCTGGTGGTGGTACTGCTGCTGCTGGTGGTACTGCTGCTGGTGGTGGTGGTACTGCTGCTGCTGGTGGTGGTGGTACTGCTGCTGGTGGTGGTACTGCTGCTGCTGCTGGTGGTACTGCTGCTGCTGGTGTTGGTACTGCTGCTGCTGCTGGTAGTACTGCTGCTGCTGGTGGTACTGCTGCTGGTGGTGGTATTGCTGCTGCTGGTGGTGGTACTGCTGCTGCTGGTGGTACTGCTGCTGGTGGTGGTACTGCT